GCGTGTTCTTTTGTAAACACTCTTTTAATCTCAATTTTTTTTTTATTAAAAGGTTTAAGGGGAATTTATTTAAAAGAAAGTATGGTGTCTTTTTCTCCTCACAATTGAGTTCTTTATATGGAATTATGAAGATTCTTAATTACTCTGTTTAATTGGCATTTTCTGCTCTATTTTTGTTAACTGTACTCATCTGCCACAATGAATCCATTGCACACCTAAAGCACCATAAGAGGTGCAGTTAACTGTTCAGTATGCGCTTTTGGATACTTGTCTTAAACTGTTGCAGGAAGAAGAACAAAACACTCGAGTTGACTGGAAAGATGAGGAAGGAAGAGCTGACTTTGAATAGTTCTTTTTAAATTGTGTATCTAACTTCACTCTATATACATTCATAATATTTAACATTAGGAATGTTAAAAATCATGTAATAGGGTAAACATGTAACTGCTAAGATTTTTTTTTGTTTAGCAGTTACACCTACTGCACGCTCTGCAGTATAAAGGCAGAGGTGCCCTTATTGGATATTCGATTAGCCAGTTAATCTAAATTTAACATCCCTACAAGAAACCGCTTTACCTAAAGGAAGTCATGTAAGTGCGGATGCCTTTTCTTCACTGATTTTAAGCAGGGATTTTAACTGCGGCATGTTCATTAACATGCAAGCAGCTGAATAATTTTCAGGGATAAAAGAATGGCTATTAGTGAACATTCATGAGCTATCTGATTTTTGGATCACATTGCTCCAGAGATCGCGTAATGGTTATTTGAGTTTGAGCAATTTTCAAAGTGTGGTTTCTAGCAGTTACGTTGTATCTTTTCTGCTCTACTTTTTCACTGGACAGCAAAGGTGATTTATATGGAAACTCTTCATGGTGAAAGATCAGAAATTATGAATGAAAAAATGTGACTCAAATTTTCAATGTGCTGGTGATAAACATGATGATAAGGAAATGGAAAAAACCTGTAATGGTTGTCTTTGCTTTTTAAATTTAAATCAGGTGGGAGGGGAAAAAAATCCCTCCCCCATACAGTCTCAAATAAAATCATTCAATGGATTCAAAATATTTGAGAAATCCACATCTATAATTATTTATGCAGAAGTTGATTCTTAAATCTGCCTAAAAGCAACTACATGAAAAGAGGGAAGTGTGCTGAGAAATGGCCTTATTGTTTTTGTTTCTGTAGATCTTTCTGTTATTTAAGATGTATCCTATTTAATACTGTCTCTGAAATTTTGCCTTCTGGGCATGGTTTAAATTAGGAAATTTACTGTTCACATGCTGAACTTAAGATCATATTCATATTAAAGGAAGACTCGAGCTGTATCTTATTTTCCTTGACAAGGATCCACTATGTACCATATACAGCAGCTTGGTGCAAGCTTTTAACTAGAAAGTAACCAGTTAAAAGTGGCTGTTTTGAATTTCATCTCTTTAAATGGACACTGGCAACTAATTGTCAAAAATAAATGTTTTTAATTAAAATATTTTCTGTCCAAATATGTATTGTGCTATTGTATGAAAATCAGAATGTGAAACTCAATTTCAGTGATTTTTCTTAAGTTGTAAAGGAGAAGATGGAGATAGAATACTAGGACTGGAAGGGACCTGGAGAGGTCATCGAGTCCAGTCCCCTGCCCTCATGGCAGGACCAAATACTGTCTAGACCATCCCTGATAGACATTTATCTAACCTACTCTTAAATATCTCCAGAGATGGGGATTCCACAACCTCCCTGGGTAATCACAGAAAACCTGTGATTAGACTTTGGATAATCACAAAAGATGGTAATCCTGATTGTTAGGCTTGGTCTAAATTAAAGTTTTGCTGGTGTGATGGGTGTGCTATTGTAACCGCCACCGAGCGGATTTGAAGCTGGGACCTTGGGAGCTGACTATAGGAGCCTCTACCCTCTTAGCTAAAAGCCAGCTGGCTCCCAGCCCATGCTGTAGAGATCGCTTGGTCTTAACTGTTGCTGTGGTCTAGGTGCCACTTGCATTACTCAGTAACCACACTATGTGTGTGTGTTACACTATTTTACCAATATAGTTATGTCAGTAAAAGCCTTGGTGTGGATACCGTTATACCAGTATAACTTTTGATTTCACTTTGCTAAACTGGAATAAGGTTATGTCCACACTATAGATTTGGGCTGGCAAAACTGTGCAGGTGTGTGAAAAGGTGCAGTCCCTGATTGACATAGCTCTGCCCACAGATATCTAGTATGGACACCACTTATCCTGGAAAAAAATAATTTTTGTGGCACTACACCTTTACAAGCATGACTTGGTTGGCTTAGCTGCAACTACATTAGGAGAAGTCTGCCAGTATATGATTACTGGTATATTGTATTTGTTAAGCACTCCTAAGTAGACATAGCTTAAACTGCATGGATCAAAGCACATTCATATGGGTTTAACTGCTTGTTCACCGGATTTGTCTGTAATTCTGCCAGAATAGGTAGTACTTAAACTTTTATGGCTCTGGAGAGTATTGGTTTTCTGTGAATCTAGGAATGATAGTTGGGCTTAGAAGTGAAGTTGACCTATTAGTTATTTTATAGTGATAGTGTAATTAATAAGGATTTCCACAATCTGTAACAAATTTATCTAAAGTGGTAGGACATAGGAATGTAAATGTGTAGTCTATTAACTGATAAGCAAAAGCTTACAGGTTAATGCTATAGACTACATGCATTTCTCCCCCCTTCCCCACCCCTCCCGACTTGCAAGTACATTTTTAAGCAAGATGGCCAACAGCCCAGCTCAGTTTGGGCGTGTGCCGGGTCCGGAAGCTCAGACCACCCTCTATACAGGGATTGCTGCCACCCCCTCCGCTGTCTCTTTATCTGAGGCAGCAGCACAGGGTGACAGCACAGGTGCACAAGGGGAGCTGAGTTTTAAACTGGCTCCCTGCTCAGACCAGCTCCCAGTTGGCACCCTGCGCTGCTGTCTCTGATACAGTGCCGGCAGCATGGAGTGGCAAGAGTCTTCTCAGGAGTGAGGCTGGAGTGCACTGGCTGCCGGCCCCGCCCCAGAGACCACAGAATATCCCTGCCCCAGAGACTAACCGATAAGAAATCATGAGGTTACTCGACTATTCAGTTAACTGCCCTAGTAGGACATAGTTGTATGAAATGTCGCACACATTTGTATAGGTTAGTTTTACTTTATAAATTAATGGTTCTTTATACGTTTAAAAGGCAGTCACAGCGGGGTTAGCTCCAGAGGCCAGGAGCTAACCCCGTTGCGGCTCTACAGTTTCACCCCTTATTGACTAATTGATGGAAATTCTATCAACTAGTCGATCATTTGATTAAACACAATTTAACATCCCTAATTGCAACCTTTGCTGCTGCTGCAACAGTAATGAATTGCAAATCCTGTGTTTGCCAGTGTCGATACAGACTGTGAGGGGAGTGGAAGTAGAGATGAGCAAGTCTTGTTAAGAGTGATAGCTGAAAGTTAAGATCAATATTTAATGGAGTCCTGAAGTTAAGCCCTCTAACCAGGAAGGCTTGCTGTGATACAAGGGTTATTTATAAGTGTACGGTTGGCATGGAAATAAAGCCTTCAGAGAGTTACCTTTAATTTCATAAGTCAGGTCCTCCCTTCCTAGAATGCTCTACTCCATTGAATCTTTACTACTGGGGTTTGTCTCCTAGGTCAGTAGTACTGTATAGTGTGGGGAAACCTACCCATAGGGGAGTGGCCAAAATAAGAAGTGCAAGGAAAATTGTTATACAAACACAATTGAGAGGTTAGCAATACAATTGTATTCTCCTTTCTTCAAGCGAAAAACATTTCTTTTTGGTGACTTGTCCCATGAACAATCTTGTTATCATAACTTTTTTCTCTAGTAGCTCAAATGAGTTCTTGGTTTTAAAAAAAACAAAAATAAGACAGGCTTAGAACTTCTGGGTAGATTGACCAGCTACTGTATGTAACCAAGAAAACTTTGCTGTCCTCTTGGGAAAAGAACAGTTGCTTCATTCTGCATGTGGGTGTGGAGCATGTGCGTAATTTGATGTGTAATTTCTCTGAGGTACAGAGCAGGTACAAATGGTTCATCAACATCAGAATTTCAAGGAGCAGGTGACTAGCAGAAACCGCTCATCCCATTAATTATAAAGAAGCTGGGGCAGTAGTTTTCATTTTCTACTCGGGTGCTCTGGTTGACATGTACAGACCAGAGACCTACATGCAGGTTTTGAGGCCTGCTCAATAGGCAAAAAGAAATAACATAACATTTTGCTTCTGCTGACAGCATAAGACAACCAAAATGCATCTTCCTAGATTGTTCCTCCTCACCCATGAAATCATGAATTGATAAAACACCCATTGATGTCACAGTATACATTCTGTGTAGTGTGTTCTGTGTAGCTAGATCTGGTTTATTTGTTTTAACAGCAAGCTTGCCTATCAAGTGTTTAATACGTGGCATTTTTTGTACTTCTCTAATGGTGTCAGGTCACAAACAAAATTCTTTGGCTTTGATATTTAAACATTTTCTCATTTATCAGACAATTATTTTCACTGTTTTAATATCAGCGGACTGTAGGGTTGCCAGGTGTCCGGGATTGAGCCAGACAGTCCGGTATTTTCGCCTCCTGTCCGGTTAAAAAAAATTCAGAAAATACCAGACACCTAAAATGTCTGGTATTTTCTGATTTTATTTTATTTTATTTTTTTTAAACCAGACAGGAGGAGAAAATCCCAGGGGCTTACCAGGTTCTGCAAGGGAGCTGTCTGGCCCGGCACAGGGAGCCTCAAAAGCATTTCTTAAATGGGCCACGCTGTGTTTGTAATTTTTTTTTTCTCAACAACTTTGGTTCCCCCCCCCTTTTTTTTCCTCAACAGAATTTTTTCCCCGGTGGTTTTTTTTGGTGGGGGTGGGATGTGTTTGGTATTTTTGGTTAAACCATCTGGCAATCCTAGCAGACTGCCTGACAAAGATTGGTGGGTTGATTATCTAATTTGAATAATCTTTCTCTTTCCACAGCTGCTTTCCTTCTTGGCCTTCATCTTGGAAGAAATTGTGGAGAGTTGTACCGTGTGTGGTGGACTTTACTTCTTTGAGTTTATAAGCTTCACTGCCACCTTTCTGAGTGTCATGATACTGACTGTGTATCACACATCTTTATATGAAAAAATTGAGGAGAAAAGAATACCGAAATTAGTAAGGAACTGCTTTATTTTTTGCTACTTAATTCTAAGGAGTTTTTTTAAATCAATTTAAAGTTATATAACTATTCTCTCCAGACAACATATACTATTTGGTAACAAGACTATACCATGTTAATGAAGTTATCATCTCTTTATTAGCAATTACTTAGGCATTTTCATGTTGGTGACTGAGATACGGCATTTCAGCTGTAGCCATGGAATGGGAAAGATGATAGCTTATTCTCTAGGAAAGATGCCAGCTGGTTCTAAACCTCTTTTTAACTGGAATAAATGACCAGGGTTCAGACCAAAGCAGGTGGGGTTTTTTTCCCTCTGTCCCCCTTAACTTAGCTGAGTATCATAAAGAGTGCGAAGGAAGGGGTTAAGACTGCCTTAAAAGTCACTTGGCAAAATGAATCCTATCCTAATGAATCTCCATCCTGCATATTACTCTGTGAGGGAAAGCACTGTGGACTTTATTTTCCAGTTTTATCTATCAATACATCCAGCAAAGATTTTGTGTATGGTAATAGGTTTCATTAAGAAGCGTATTTTATTTAACAAAAGTTCTCATGAGCATGTATGTGCATCTCTTTTTGTTACTGCTAGGTTTAATAAATTAAATCTGGAAGGAATCATGAACACTAATCTGATCTCTGGCATAACATAGGCCATGTGATTTTCATTTTGTAATTCCCATATCTGCATTTCTGGCTTTGCAGAAGATTGCTATGTCTGTTTCAAGATAATTTTTGTAAAGCAAGTTGCAATTCCTTTAGTATGACAAGCTATACATAGTCAAATTCTGCTCTTGTGTCATCTTGTCTCTATTAAAATAAGCAAAAAGAGTTTATAGAATCTATAAAACAAGAAGTGTAGGGTTTTTCCCAGGTATTTCATTGAGAAGTAAAAATGTGTAAGAGAAAAACAAATCAGAATTCACAAAAGGTAAGGCTAGGAGAAATATTTTCATGCATTTTTGTTTTGTTTTAAATTTTAGTGGAAACTTTGTTTCTCAAACATTCTTCTGCTACCCTAACAGTTCAATACTGAGAACCTGTAATGAAAAATAAATTAGATTATTAAAATTAGGATTTTTTTTGTAATCCCTTGTACTAGTGGCATAGCGAGGGGTGTGTGTGTGTGTGTGTGTGTGTGTGTGTGTGTGTGTGTGTGTGTGTGTGTGTGTGTGTGTGTGTGTGTGTGTGTGTGTGTGTGTGTGTGTGTAATGAGATCTTAAAGTGTCTGCAATTTCAACTAAAATAGAAATGACCAGTCCCCATCCCATATGCGCACACATACTTATGTAGCTCATTCCATTTCTAGGTATTTGCCTTGAAATGCTTCCTCTCCTGCCCTCTTATTTTATTGAGTTGAAGCTATTGAGGCCCATCTGGTTTTGCTGTTGGGGTAGGTCAGGACCATAGATCTGCATTTGTATGCAGAGTCCTTGGGTGTGGCATTGTCACACAAACTAATAGTAAATTGTATTACTGCATTTGTGGAGCGTAGTTTGTTGCCAGCATGTAATGCTGGGATCTCTGTTTATCACATGAAATATTCTATAGGGTAAATTTATTTAATTACTTGAAACTTGCATGTTTCCCTAATCTAATGTACAGAAATGTTTCGTTACCCCTTGTCATCCTCCACCTCTTTCAGATGCCGGTTATGCTCAGTATGCTTTTGCATTTCAGAAGATACAATATTGGCAAAAACACTATTTTGTGTCATGTACATCCATCTTGCATAAGAATTGTCATAGCAAACAATATGTAAATTCTTTGACTGAAGGCATAAAGGTAGGAGAGTATCAGAACCAAGAAAGCTGAATGAATGCATTTATTTGTAAGGCTCCCTTTCCCCAAGGCTCCAAAGAAGTTAGTGAATCTAGGAGAGCTAAACAGATTTCTGCTGAATGTTAAATGTGATGAGAGATGTTAGTTAGAGGTGAATGAGGTAGAAATGGGGAAGGCATAGAAAGAATAGTATGTGATGGAGATTCCTTTCACATTGTTGCAGTTAATCATTGGCTTCAATGTCTGATTAATATGGGCCTTTTTAATATACTGGTTCTTTTACCAAACAGTGCCTACAGAGTTTGAAATTTTCTTGGGTTTTTTATGATTGCAGGATTTCAGAATCACTACACTGGTGGGAATTGTCTTTCTCATAGCTTCTATTGTGTTTGCTGCAACCAATGACAAGTCATCTGTTGAAACTGTTGCAATTGTAAGTATGTGAAAACATCCATTGCTCTATATTTTAATTCTTTATTGTAACATCTACACTCTTAAGTCTAAAGTCCTCTGCTCAAGGCTTAGAGGCAGAAAACAGAAGACAATGTATTTGCTGGGGGAAAAGATGCAAAAAGACGTGGCTACCTCAGGACTCCTAAGACTTGGTACAAAAACCTCTGCTAAAGCAGAGCGTATGGGAGATCCACTAAGAACATAAGAACGGCCGTACTGGGTCAGACCAAGGTCCATCTAGCCCAGTATCCTGTCTACCGACAGTGGCCAGCACCACGTGCCCCAGAGAGGGTGGACCGAAGACAATGATCAAGCGATTTGTCTCCTGCCATCCCTCTCTAGCCTTCCACAAACAGAGGCCAAGGACACCATTTTATCCCCTGGCTAATAGCCTTTTATGGACCTAACCTCCATGAAATTATCTAGCTTCTCTTTAAACTCTATTATAGGCCTAGCCTTCACAGCCTCCTCTGGCAAGGAGTTCCACAGGTTGACTACATGCTGTGTGAAGAAGAACTTTCTTTTATTCGTTTTAAACCTGCTACCCATTAATTTCATTTCGTGTCCTCTAGTTCTTCTATTTAGGGAACTAATAAATAACTTTTCTTTATCGGCCCTCTCCACACCACTCATGATTTTATAAACCTCTATCATATCCCCCCTCAGTCGCCTCTTTTCTAAACTGAAAAGTCCCACTCGCTTTAACCTCTCCTCGTATGGGACCCGTTTCAAACCCCTAATCATTTTAGTTACCCTTTTCTGAAGCCTTTCCAAGGCCAAAATATCTTTTTTGAGGTGAGGAGACCACATTTGTACACAGTATTCAAGATGTGGGCGTACCATAGTTTTATACAGGGGCAGTAAGATATTCTGGGTCTTATTTTCTATCCCTTTCTTAATAATTCCTAGCATCCTATTTGCCTTTTTGACCGCCGCTGCACACTGCATGGAAGTTTTCAGAGAATTGTCCACGATAACTCCAAGATCTCTTTCCTGATTTGTCGTAGCCAAATTAGCCCCCATCATACTGTACGTATAGTTGGGGTTATTTTTCCCGATGTGCGTTACTTTACACTTATCCGTATTTCATTTGCCATTTTGTTGCCCAATCACTCAGTTTGGTGAGATCTTTTTGGAGTCCCTCACAGTCACTAGATGGGCACATTCTCCAGCAGTGGTCTTTATAAGGTTTGCTGGAAGCTCTGTGTACCTTAGGGGCTCTATAATATTGTGAATGCTTGGCCCTGTGTTCTTCTGGCCTTGCCAGAGTCACAATCAGCATTTCACCATTCATGCTATCATTGTTTATTTTTCCTCTCAAATTTCTTTCTTTATTTTTATTCTTGCTTTCTCCATAAGGTACGCCTGCACCTAGAGGTGGCTCATGCCAGCCCACTTAGGCGGTGCGATTTCATTGCTGTGTAGATGTCTGGGCTTGGGTTGGAGTTTGGGCTCTAGGATCCTATGAGCTGGGGCTAGAGCTGCAGCTGGGGCAGGATGGAAGGGCTACCTGATAAGCTTGATTACTTGCATTCTCCTCCCTCGCCCCTTGCTGCCTCTGATACAGAGGCAGCAAGGCAGGGGAGGGGCATGAGCTGGTGCTGGGGGAAGCCTGCTTAATTATAAAGCATCAAAATCAAAGAACATTCTTACATTAGAAACCCCAAGTAAAGAACTCTTATCCTGTAATCAGAATATTAGATTTTTATAGGGAGAAAAATACATTTATCTTCTGTAATATTCATTTGTGGCACAAATATTAACTTAGGCATTTCCATCTCTCTGTGCAAGAGGGAGGGAAGGGAGTCATGAAAGAAATCTCACTCATACATCTTGTTTATGTTCTACTAGAAGATTTACCAGGCATGGCTCAGGTTTTTAACTCAATTTTTGTGTGTTTGGAAAAGAAAATGAAAATATACATGCTTGGTTTAAATTACAGGCAGTCCCCGGGTTATGTACAAGATAGGGACTGTAGGTTTGCTCTTAAGTTGAATTTGTATGTAAGTCGGAACTGGTACATACTGTAGGGGAAACTCTAGCCAAACCTTTCTCCAGAGCTCAGTTTTATTCTCCCACACCTCACTTCCCTCAGTCCTTTATTCTCAAGCTGAGGTGTCTGCTGAGAAAAGCCGCTCCACGTCTCCCTGGTCTGCTGGGGGGAAGCAGCTAGTGCGGGGCTGCCTCACCCTGTTTGTAAGTAGGGATCCGATGTAAGTCAGATCCATGTAACCTGGGGACTGCCTGTATTGCTCTGGGGTGAGGCTGGGAATGTGAGGTTCAGCATGCAGGCTGGCCTAGGGAGAGAGGACTACTCTAGCCCTCTTTCATCACAGCAGCTTGAGGCCAGGTGAGAAGTGCTTCTCCAGTGAGCACAGCCAGTGGGAGGTGGATGTCCCCTGGCTGAGGCAGATCCAGGCTAGGCTGGGTGGGGGCCACAGAAGGACAACCTGTTTCCTGGCAGTGGCAGCTCTTTGGAAGCCCAGGTTGGGTGCCATGGCTAGAGGAAGGTGCCTCCTTCTCTGATCCCAGCATGGAGCAGATGCAGCTGGGGCCCAAAGCTGTCATGGCCAGGGGGTGAGGAACCTCTTCTCCCAGCCCCAACACAGAGCTGCCACAGCTGGCCCCAGAATGCAGCTGCTGGGGCTGGCAGGCAGAGGTGGGAGTGTAGAGTGCTGCCTTGAGCCCCTGCCCTCTCTAAGCCCTCTTTCAACATTTGCTCAGTTATGTCAGCTTTTGAGGACTGTACTTGATTTGGTGACTGCCTCTTCCATTTGGTTTTGACAAGCAATCCCATTCTAGGCACATCCCATTTTCCTGGCACAATCAAACCCTTATCATGCTTAAGTTATGATAAGCGGAAGTTGTATGCCGAATTTGGTGGTCCTAACTCTTAGGCTACGTCTACATTGGCAGCTTCTTGCACAAGAACTCTTTTGCGGAAGAGTTCTTGTGCAAAAACTCTTCCAGAAGAGAGCGTCTACACTGGCATGTGCTTTTGCTCAAGAGCATCCATGCCAGTGTAGACGCTCTCTTGTGCAAGAAAGCTCAGATGGCCATTTTAACCATAGGGGCTTCTCGCACAAGAAATTCATGTTGCCTGTCTACACTGCCCTCTTCTGGAAGAGCTCTTGCGCAAGAGGGCTTACAACACTTTACAGTAAATTTACTTCTGGAAGAACACTCGTGCAGTGTAGACAGCCGGCAAGTTTTTGCGGAAGAATGGCTGTTCTTGCACAAGAAGCCGCCAGTGTAGATGTAGCCTTACTGTGTAGGAGGAGTTCTTGAATGAACAGATACACTGACTGACAAACTCTGTCAAATATAGTAGATTGTGTTGACTCAAGCAGTGTAAAATTTAACTCTTAAACTTCACTGAATCCCAGTAATGCTCAGGCACCAATCTGATTCTTTGGTGTGTAACTATACTGAGCTATTGCCTCGCTGCTTTTTTTTCCAGCATTAATCTCTGCTGAATTCCTTGCAGTCAACAGTAAGTTCCTGTACCATGCACACCTGATCCCAGAAATAAGAACTATAAAGCATAAGACCTATCAGTATTATCAGGGCTTGCCAAGCCACGGTGAGCCCCGCTCGCCAGCCGCGCAGTTCAGCACGCTGCGCATGCGCTGGCCGCACTGTGCGGCTATGCCAGTTTGTAATGTACTCGCCACAGGTGAGTGTTATGATTTTTTATCTTTCTGCTAAGAACTTAACTACAGATTTCAAAAGACTGGACACTGAATGTGCTCCAGTCTCTAATACATGGAAATACTACAGTGAAGGTGGTGAGAGGTTTGCAGGAAAAAGATTGCTTGTTTTCTTGCTTTGGATTCATGCTTATGTATACATTTTAAATAATTTTCTTTCACATTCACAGGTGTTTGGATTTTTGGCTAGTATAGTATTTCTAGCTGATGGTATTCAGATGTTTATGGAGACACGTAAACGGAAGGAAAGTAAATCGAAGAACGTTGGCAACACAGAGAATGGAGTAGAAAACCAGCCGCTGAAAAATCAAACCTAGACTTTAAAAAGTTCATTAATTACTAGGAGTTAAATTAATCAAGAGGAAATATTTTTATTTCTCCACTTATTTCACTGCATAGAAGGTAACTT